CCGGCTTGCCGGGCCCAAACCCTATGCCCTATGCCAAATAGAACGCTGCATAAAATGCACATATTTTTGAGATAAGATGCAAAGATCAACAATGAGACAATATCGGAATAGATGCCCGACAGAATGTCAAAATAAAATGCCAGATAGAATGTCGGAAAAAATGTGAAATAAAATGTCAGAATGTCAGGTACAAGTCAAAGAACATGCAAGATACAACGTGAGATAAAATGGCAGGATATAGGTCACAGCGGGTCAAAAAACCAAAGCTAGTTTTCTAGCTGGAATTCGATTTGCTTAGCAATGAATTGGGGGTAGGATCTAAGTTACATGTCGAACTGGTTTTGGGGCCTCCCTGTTACCCATGATGAATCACTTCGGACTGGCCCCCCTCCTGCGACCTCAAACCCTGCTGCGTCCATCCCGCTGGGTTTCATTTGCGACCATGCATTCGCATGCCCACGCACATGCATATGTACGATGATATTCACCGTGAGTGCTGAGAACGTAGTGCATCGCAACGAAACGCAACCAAATCTAATGTCATGTAAGGCAAGGTACTGTACCGGGGTATAATGTAATGTCCCTAGTCTTCAATGTTGAAGTGTAACTTCTCATTTGTCAAATACAATGTTTGACCTGGTTAAACATCGTATTTCTTAAATACCCTGTTTGGCCATGTCAATATGGTTCATCATGCTCAAGGCAGCAGTTTTTGGAATTTGACATGTAGCTTGCCCCATGTTTCACAAAAACCCAGCTGGAATGAGTTGGCGTGAAATACCCGTGAGATTTGCGTGAAATACCATGCTTGCCGGTGAAATACCATGTTTACTCGTCAAATACCCGTGAAGTTTGGAGCCTGCATTTTAGAACTCCACAACACAATCTTCCATACAGTACCAACCTGCTTCCAGCCCGTTAGCGGCACAGAATCTGGGACTCCAACTACCGAATTGGCCAAGAAGTATTTTGCTGGTCAAACATCTTCTTTGATGAAACACTAGTACAGACACCGAACTTGAACAAATACCATGTTAAACATCGCATTGGAAAAGTAGGGATGTAACGCAATGCAAATGTGATGTCATGTCCTGAAATGTCATGAGAGAACAACCACTTTGATTTATGCATTCCTTTTCCTCAAGGCGTTGGCATGAAAACATGACCCGGTCTTGGCGAGGAATGAAAGATGCGCAACTTAAGTTTCCCAAGCGTTTCTTCTTCCATGGATGTTTGTACCTAAGTTACCGGGTTTTGGTTTGTGTAGTGGAGAACAGATTTGGCGTGACCTTTTTCCCAATTTCAAGTTAAAAAACGAAATTAAAGGACCGGATAACCCCACATGCCAACTTCTTCCAACAAGCAGCAAAAGAAAGGTAAAGATGGCATGGGAAATGCAGGAAAGAGAAAAGAGATGGTCAAGGATTGGCGTGTGCAACAAGGAACCCGTGTGTGAGGAAGTTGTGCGGTGATAAGTTGTGTGTGCGGTGTGTGTGTGTGTGTGGACCATGAGCAACAAATGTTGTAGCGGGACGGGGTGGCGGGGAAGGAAGGAAAGACAAAGGAGGTAGTGAAGGATCGAGAAGTTAAAACAGTTGTGTGGGACAAAGTTGTATGTGAAAGACCGTGTGTGACAAAGAAAGATGATGTGTGAAAAGATGGTATGTATGTATGTAATGTAAATGTAATGCAATGTAATGTAGTGTAGTGTAATGTAATGTAATGCAATGCAATGTAATGTAATGTAATGTATGTTTGTTTGTTTTTTTGTTTGCTTGCTTGCTTGTTTGTTTGTTTGTAATGTTCTGCGCTATGCAACCGCAAATTTTGCGAATTCTGGCTGGCAATCATCCCTACGGGGAAGGAAGGAAAGACAAAGGAGGTGGTGAAGGATCGAAGGTGTGATGAAGACGGAAAGGTACCTGGCCACGTGAAAGATCGAAGGAAACAAGCAGAAACGCAAAGAAGATTGATTGCAAAAACACCAAACATAGGAGCAGAAGAGACAGGTGAGGGGCACAGTTCACGGTGGATAGGCTGTGACCACTGCTTCCGAGCATGATGTTCAGCAACGGCAGCATCTGCGCGATGAAGTCGGTACCTGGAAGAGCAAAACAAAACAACGGGCTGTCATTCCTGCCAAGAAACGGCGACAGTATCATGAAGACTGTCAGTTTTGGAATCACAGACTGACAACAGACACGTGAACACAGTCAACCGCAACAGTACGATCAAAGATCACGGCGCACCAGAGTGCTGGATCTGCGCGATGAAGTCGGTACCTGGCAGCAAACACTTTCACCAGACGTGCCGCTCGAGAACATCTATCATGCAGGTGGAGCAAATGAATGCACAGTGACATCTCTATTAGCAGCCGCTTTCCTTCGGTACAAAGCGCTATATCAAAATTGTAGCGGTGACGCTGGATTTCGCACGGCGCGTCAATCGCACGTCTGCTCGAGTGGGCATCCTCAGTCAGCGATGTGTCTTCCGGCGTTTTCTCCATGACGCTCCTCGTCCATGTCGGCAACCTCCTGGTCCATGTCGGCGCCAACCTCGGCAACCTCCTGGTGCAAGCGCTCCACTGCGCTCTGCAACTCGGCTGTGTTGCGGTGCTCCGATTCTGTCAGGCGGCGACAGTCTTTCTCTGCTTCAGTTTTGGAACCCCTCGTCGGACCAGACACCCTCTTCTTGTCTATGGTCACACGGACCCGCCAACCGCTACCATGCTGAACCACGGAAGGAGCAGGCAAGACACGACGGGCACCATGCTGACGACGGACATGAACTTCTTTCAAGCGGTTCATGGACACCGCTGCCGCCTCCTCCAAGTGCTGCTTATCTTCTTTCGCAGCCGCTTTGGTTGCACGGATGGGGCCACTGAACGTCGTGCCGCCCTTCTTGCGACGAGCCCGCCAGCCACTGCCTATTTTCTCCAGAGGCATGTCTTTCTACAACCTACGATCCCACGGCGGCTCAAAACAGCCAGATCAGACCGCTACGTTCGCAGCTCTTACCTGTCTGTAATTAGAAGCATGATCTATCCCTTACCAATCTAGTCTGCTGGTTTCTGGACGCACACAAAATGTGAATACACTACCCACAAGCTGTTGACGCCGCCCGAGAGCTAAAGCCAAAATCCTACCCGCAGAATTGATACCTTGTGAGCAGGTCCAGAAGAATGAGCGATTTTCATCCGAGGCGAAGGTTTTGCATATTGCAGCTAGCAAGGCGTTTTTTTCGATCAGAAGAATTCACATCAAAGACAGATGAGTTTTTACGCAGCATCTGCTGGTATAATAGGCGCAGTGTACTTGCAACTTCATACCCATGTTTGGTTCGTCTTCTTAGGCTCTGACTACTCCTTCCGAACATGATGTTCAGCAACGGCAGCATCTGCGCGATGAAGTCGGTACCTGGAAGAGCAAAACAAAACAACGGGCTGTCATTCCTGCCAAGAAACGGCGACAGTATCATGAAGACTGTCAGTTTTGGAATCACAGACTGACAACAGACACGTGAACACAGTCAACCGCAACAGTACGATCAAAGAATTCACTACATTACACACACTACACTCCACAACACTACAACTGCAACTACACAAGTACACTCCACTACACTTCACTACACTAAATTACACTACACTACATTACACTACACTCCACTACACTACACTACATTACACTACTACACTACACGACCTTCCACTACACTTCACTACATTACAGTACACTACACTCCACTACACCACAACTACAGCTACAACTACAACTACACTCCACTACATTCCACTACGCTAAATTACACTACACTACTACATTATACTACATTACACTACATTCCACTACACTACACTACATTACACTACACTACATTACACTGAATGACACTGCACCACAGATAGATAGATAGATAGATAGATAGACAGACAGATAGACAGATAGACAGCTAGACAGATGGACAGATGAAAGAGAGATAGAGAGAGATAGATAGATAGAGAGAGAGATAGATAGATAGATAGATAGATAGATAGATAGCTTGATGAATAGATAGCTTGATGGATGGACAGATAGATAGATAGGTAGATAGATAGATAGATAGGGAGATAGACAGACAGACACATAGATAGGTAGACAGATAGATCAGTAGGTAGGTAGGTAGATAATCAGAAAGATAGAGAAACAGAGAGAAAAAGAGAGAGGGAGAGAGAAAGAAGAGGAGACCTCAAGCACCTTTCAGTCCATCAGTGGCTTCGCTCTGCCATCCGTGATTCACAACAACCAACCTCTCCTATAGGTTTCCTATTTTTGAAACTTCCGCCACCGCCTTGTGCGGTATTACTGGTATGATGACAAGTTATGTGTGAGCAATTTGTGTGATGACAAGTTGTGTGTGGACAATGTGTGGACAAGAGACGACGGGAGGAGGAGGAGGCGGACGGCGGGATACAGGACCAAAAACAAGAACCCCACACAAAGATGTGGGGAACAAGAACCCCACACAAAGATGCGGGGAATTAAAAAAGGTCGCGCCAAATATTCTCTCAATACACACCTCTCCTTGCCCAACTAGTTTTCGTCCCTTCCCTTTGGCCTCAAGTTAAAATATGTTTTTGCAAGTTGCACCTCAACATTGAAACGAACTCCAACCCCAATGGCAGCTTCAGGTCCGCGTTCATTTTGTGGAATTCAAGACTGGTGCACCAGGGCGCTACCTACGCGCCATATGCAAAAACAGGGTTCCGCCCGCCTGTGCAGGCGATGTGGGTGGATCTGGCGCGTGTAGTGAAGCTTCGTAATGTGTCATGCGTACAAGGTTCTTTGGTTTGTTGTGTGACTGGACCGAACCAATCCTGGATTTATCAAACTGTTCAATAGGTTTGTTGAAAATCGCCTGGAAATGGTTCGGTCCTAACTTTGATAATCTTGCCGGACCCTTTGGAAGCGGCCTTTGAATGGCAGGTGCCGTCCATGTTCGACGCAAATGCTGATGACTGGAAAGTGCATTTGAACCGCGAAGGCTACGTTGTCATCAAAGATCTGCTGCTCGAAAACGTTTATGCGTAGGCCGTAGGCCGAGGTTCCGAACATGCCTGATCCCTATCTGGGGAAGGCCCCTGCCTTGAAGCTGTGCCATCGGAAACCCCAATGCACATGGCCTTTGATGCTAGACAAAGTGGGTTGCTTGGGCGGTTGACTGATGCTGACCGGGTTTTGCCCAGACCAGGCTAGAAAGTGACAACGTGAAAAAGGCCCTCAACTTCCTCTTGGCCGACATAAAGCAAACTGCTCCGCATTGCCACATTCATTCACGGAAATGACTTGGTTTGAGCTACGTAGCCCTACTTGTTTTGATCCGCATCAAGCCCGTGCAGTTTCTTGTTTGTTATTTTGCTTTGCTGGACAAGCTGTATAATTGCGCTCAGGTCTCTGAACCCGAAGATTCAAAACCTCGATCAGGCTCCCAGTCTGCCAACAACGCGTTTCATTGAATACAACATGAGTGGAAAGAATACGTTTAGTGATCGGTACCCATAAGGCCGTATTGGCCCCATTTAGAAAGTTCTCGCTATCTTGAGAGTTGTGGAGCCAAACATGTTCATGGTTCGCGTGGAGCTGGTAACCTGAAGAACGACAATTATAATAGGCTTCAACCAGCAAGGCCGAGCACAAAATTGTGGATGCAATAGCACCTGCGACACGGAGAAGCGCAAAATATGTCACATGTGTGAATGAAACGGGCTCCATAGCGTAGCGCACAGTGCTTGAGCCACAAGGGTTTCATCTTTTGCCGCCGTCCATTGCCATTTTGTTGCAGTCAGAACACATTTTCCATCAGATTTGATTGGGGCCATCACACCTTGCATCCGCATTGGATCACATGTTTCCCCATCTTTTCACAACATCCAGTGGCGCAGGTGCGAGAAAAAGATTTACCTCCAGCTCAAAATAAGAACGATTTGCGAATCTCAGGTGGCATTTGCCACGGCAAGTTTGCATGGTTTCTGCGCACATGCCCGGAGGCAAAGCGGGAGGGAGGTTCTTGGCAGTGCAGGATTGCTCAACGGGCTCACAGGTCTTATGCAGTTGCAGGTCACGATGCTTGCGTTTCACCTTCATCACTCCTCGCCAGAACAGGGAATGCACAGGCTATGGCGTGCCAGATCCTGCCAGGTGAGCCGTGTTTTCGAGATGTTGTTCGATCTTCCAGAAGGCTTGGGACTTCCTGGAAGCCGGCGGAATGAGAGAATGCATATGGGTGCAGGCTGCGTTGGCGCTGAATTGCCAGTCCCGAGGTGCGCCCATGACTGGCTCTGTGGACGTGGTTGCCCTGGCGCCCCCTGCTAGTGACTTGCCAAAGCACCCTGCCCCAGCCACCTGTAACACACCAAGAGCAATGCTGAGAACAGATACAACCCCACGCCTTCACTGTTACATTTTCGCGCAACATCGAGATCTTGTCCCGTCACCGCCCAAGGTGGTTCTTTGGTGGACGGCGGCAAAAATTGGTTGCACCTGGATTATAGCCCGCCTTTCGGAGACATTTGGCAGGCCAAATGGTTGCTAGCACGAAGGGTTTCACAAAGGGGGATCATCATGATCATCAACTAGTTGCCAATCAATCAACCAAACAACCAGCCAATCAATCAATCAATTAACCAATCAATCAATCAACCAACCAATCAATCAATCAATCAATCAATCCAGTCAATCAATCAACCAAACAATCAATCAACCAATCAATCAATCATTCAATCAATCAATCAATCAATCCAATCCAACCCAATCCAATCCAATCCATCAATCCAATCCAATCCACTCCAATCCAATCCAATCCAATCCAATCCAATCCATCAATCCATCAATCAACCAATCAACCAACCAACCAACCAACCAACCAATCAATCAATCAATCAATCAATCAACAAACCACCAAACCACCCAACCACCCAACCACCCAACCAAGCTAACAATCAAGCAACCAACCAACCAATCAATCAACAAAACAGCCAACCAACCAGCCAACCAATCAATCAATCAATCAAGCAAGCATCTCCTTTTCTTCGTCCTCTTCTGTTTTTCCCCTTTTCTTCTTGGTCCTTCCTTTTTTGGAATAGCCCCTTTTTTGCCCGTTTCCTCCACCTACTTCTCATCATCTTCATCATCATGACCACCATTGTCCATCTCATCCGCATCATCATCATCATCATCATCGCCGCCATCACCACCAGCACCATGGCCGCCCCTGCCACCATCATCATCGTTGTCATCGTCATCGTCATCATCATCATCATCACCATCATCATCATCATCATCACCATCATCATCAGCAGCATCATCATCATCGTCGTCGTCGCCGTCATCGTCATTCTACCATGCTTCTTGGCACCTATCACCATAATGAATGGATGTTTCCCAATCACCTGTGTAAGCAACGGCTCATATCGATACCTTTGTTGCATATGAAATGTCTGCTCAGTTGAATTTCCTCCGGTATTTGCGGCCCAAGCTGCAAGAGGGCATTCTCATCGAGATATCCATTTTCTGTCGAAAGGGATATTGCAGTTTTCGCATTTGTTGGGCGCCTTTGCTCTTTCTAGGATGTGCCCCCCCGGGCTCGCAGACTGCGAACTATATTTGAATTTCTTCTGTGTCCTGCTTGCGGCCATCACATGGCATTGTCTTGTTGTACCTGTTAGCCTCCAGCAGCGAGGCGTTTGTTTGACAACATTGGCAGTTTTTATGTGGAGCAAGATCTTATTTTTCACAGAACCTACCCATGCATTGAGTTTGGCAGGCTTGGGTGTGCATGTATCATCTTTAAGTGCCTCAATGAATGCATGCTATCATTTTGGCTCAAGTGAACTTGAACCAAAATAGCATTCATTGCTGTTTCTTTCTCGGTCTTGGTAAGGGGTGACCTTCCCTGACCTTGATTGATTGGTTCAGATTCGACACAAGGGGTGACCTTGTATGCAGCGCAAACTCCCAGGGATCGATATCCCGGCAGCCACCGAGGTGAAGATCCTCCATGCGGCGGCTTTCTTGGAGTTCAAAGGCCACGTGGAAAGGCTGGCACGGGAGGGCTCTGATCTGGCAGCATATACATGCTGGATGCACGGGATTGAAGTGTTGCACTCCCCCTACGTCATCACTACTGGGACAGACTCAGAGCTTTTTCCCCCCCTGCCGAAGCTGCCCTGTTGCCTTGATGACTGCCAGCGTTGCGCAGCTCATGTTGGGGGGTTCAAGTTCCCGTGGCTCGGCCTGTGGAATAGCCGGGGAGTTGTGCTGCCAGACGATGCGGCGCCTGCGGATGCTTGGGCGTATTACTACCAGCACCAGGACCCAATGGACCTACTGCTGGTTGCCGCCTACACGAAGCTCAAGGTGGCCGCCGACATCGTGCCCCAGGATCTCTACGGATTGCAGCTCAGGTGCACAGCGGGTGACGCTGGGCAACTGGGCCTGGGAGAGCTGTTCGATCAATGGAGGAGTTGGCTCAGATGCACAGGCCCTCACGAGCTCCTGCCGACCTTCCTCGAGCCGCGCCACTTCCCCAGAGCACCCAGGGGGCGACCCTGGCCAGCATGGGGGAGAGAAGGCGCCAGGGCACATCGAGCACTATGTGGGTGGCTGGAATGCCAGGATGCAGGCGTGCTGCACCTGGGCACGGCCTGCACGGAGTGCGGGGACCCTACAAGGCGCGTGTGCTGGGCATGCTGCGTCGGGATGTGTAGTGCCTGCTTTACCTGGCGTTAGCCATGCAGCACTTGTGGAGGACGTAAGAAGATGTTTGCTGCAGGTTGATTTTATGACAGAGGAGGCACCTCTGAAGTCACCGCAGCATCTTTTTGCTCTCCGCACCTTAGCAATTCTGTTAGGGTGCAGTGCCATGGCATCAGGCGGCAAAGGCTACTACGCAGCTCAGGCGGCAGCCTCATCTTCGTCAGGGGGTGACCCTGCACCAGGATGGAGGGCAGCCGACTCTTTGATGATGATAGCTGCACAACGTGCGCGTCAATGGAGGGAGAATGAAGGCCTCCTGGACGACAACGACTTCGCCTATGCCTACACAGACTACGATCAAGTCGTTGGACTGGCCGGCCATCACGTAGCGGATGACTGGCTGCAGACGCGAGCCAGGGTGGAAGAACATCTCCTTGCAGCGGGGGCCAAAGTCGTGGAGGACAACCCCAAGGGTTCCGTCACTCTGCGCCCTGCGCGCAAGACGATATACAAAAAGAAGCCCAAGGCCGTCAACGTCGACAAGAACCTGGATGAAGCCGTCCAGAAGAGGGTGAACGGTTTGGTTTCGATGTTTGTCGGCATGGGCGCATACAAACCAGCTGGCATCTTGACAGACACCCTCAAGGCCGAATGGAAACAAACGTGCAAGAGGATCGCCGAGAAGAAGGTGAAGGACGCAGAGAAGGCGACCATTGACCGAGTGGTCAACACATGGTTGGAGCTGAGGGCCTTCTTGGAGAGTCGGGGGCGACCCGCTCCTCCTGGAATGGTCGACCTGGATCAGTTCCTGAACCATACATCGGCCCCAGCACGAGCACTCCAAGCCTTGAAGTGGATGAACAAGAATGCCGACCAAGATCTAGAGCTGGGAAACTTGCAAGTGCCCACAACACCCAGGGCGACTGGGCAGCGTGGGCAAGCACGGTGGTGGAACCGCCGCTAGTGCAAGCCTTGGAGGACCGCATCATGGAGTTGCACGCGGTCGGCGACGAGAGGTGGTCAGTTCTCCTGGCCCCTTGGATCATGTCGTTTGGCTGTTTGAGGTATGCGCACATTGCGCGGTCAGAACCTCGACGTCTCACGGCTGCATTCCTCCATTGCCGGTGCCCCAAAGGAAAACAAAAGCATGCTCGTGAAGGATTCGACTTTGCTGTGCCGGCCACCTTTGCCAACGGCTTCTTTTGGGCCAAAGAAGTGCTGGAGGCATACAGGACACTGGCACCGGCGAGGCAGAGACTTGCAGGCCTTTGTTTTTCGGACGAAGGGCGCCCTTGGACGATCCTTGAAGTGCAAGAAACAATGCAGCAGGAAATGTCCGTGTTCCATCGTGTTCCTCGATAATCCAGAAGACCTGACCACCTACAGCTGGAGGAGGCTTGCACCAACGGTGGCCCAGTTGTTAGACTGCAGGCCTGAAGAAATGGCAGCCCTGGGCGACTGGCAAGCCAAGAGCGAGCAACCAGAGGTGGGGGCAATGGCATTTCACTATTCGTCGGCCAAATACGCCGCGTCGATTAAGGTGAAATCGCTGATCTGGGGTGCTACAGCTAAGCTGACTAGCAACCTGCTGTGGGAGGCGATCCCGCAGGCAGAGCTAGATGCAGCCCGTGCTCACGGCTTGACGGAGGCCGACAGATTGCTGCGACAAGACCGTCAACCTATGTGGGCCTCCGCACACAGCTTTCAGGATGTGAAGAAAAGGCTCAAGCTGTCACAACAGTTTGTTGAAGCGGCGCAGCAAGCCCGACAGGAGGCCGAGGCAGCACCGGCACCTCAGATGCCTGACCAACTCAAGGGCAAGGTGCTGACAGCCACATTGAAGAATGGCAAGGCTATATGCCCGGACTTCCAGACGGATGAGTGCCCGAACCCGGCAGACTCTTGTCCATTCGGAGTGCACTTGTGTGCCATCTTACAGAAGTCAGGACGGGCATGTGGTGGCAAGCACGGTGCAGGCATCTGCAACATCAAGCGAGCAGTGATGGCAGCAACGGCAGTGCCAGCGGCGCCCAAGCCATCGGCAACCTTGGTGCCGGCAGCCGTGGGGGAGAAGGCCACGTTCGGCCGGAAGAGGACCGCGGCGAGCGGTGCCACAGACGATGAGATTGCAGATGTGATGCGCACAGCTGTCAAGAAAGCTCGAGGCCAAGCTGCACCCAAGACTCCACCAAAGGCACCAGCCATTGCAGCCCCCAAGACGCCTCCGAAGGCCAAAGCCACCACCCCTAAGCCGCTGGCCACGGCTGCAAAGTCCATGGCTGCCGCCACAACGCCGAAGCGCCTGGCAGCTCCTGGGAAGCCGCAGACCAAGGCTGCGCCAAAGAAAGGCCGTGGGAAAGCAGCCGGGGACACCTTGGACATGCACCTGGAGCGATTGGGTGTGGGCTCAGGGACTGCCCAGGCTCCTACTTGCATCTGGACGTCCCGAAAGGGTGGTGGCATCTACCTGGCAGGACTTCCGATGCGGCAGGCTGTGGACAAGTTCCCCAAGACGGTGTTGCAGATCTGCTGTTTCCCGCATGGTCCTGAGAGCCGGGGGGGGGTGACCCTCCCGGGGGCTCAGTTGATGACCTTTGCGGCGGCATACAGCCAGGAACGCAACGAGCAGTGGACAGACGTTTGGCCTGCTGTCAAGAATACAGTATGGCACGGCGACAACGTCTGCATCAAGGGGAGACACCGGGGTGCTTTCTTAGGCATCCTCTGCCGTGCATTGCTGGCCGGTGAGTCCATTGAGGATGCCAACCACTACGTGGAGAGCCGCCGAGACACAGAGCTGAACAAGGTGATTCGAGACCAAG